CCCTCGGGAGAAGTGGGGCGGCCCTGGTGGCGTGGGGCCGCGTGTGTGCAGCGGTTGTGAGCGAGATGCGGTAGCACGTGACCCTGGGACGCAAACCCCGATGCAGCTTCCCCGCCCCCCGTGTGCCCTTTTCGCTGGTACTTGGCCCCAAGCAGATGCATCCCAGGTGAGTCGTGAGGTGGGCTCAGGGCTGGCGGCGTCTTCGGAAAACATCAGGCACGTGAGAGTTTTTGTTTTTGTTTTAAAATATATTTTATTAATTTTTTACAGAGAGGAAGGGAGAGGGATAGAGAGTTAGAAACATCGATGAGAGAGAAACATCAATCAGCTGCCTCCTGCACACTCCCTATTGGGGATGTGCCCGCAACCAAGGTCCAAGCCCCTGACCGGAATCGAACCTGGGACTCCCGAGTTCCGCAGGCCGACGCTCCATCCACTGAGCCAAACCGGTCAGGGCAACGTGAGAGTTTTGAGTGCCTTCGTTGTGGGTGCCACTAGGGAGGGTACAAGTGCGGTTTGCAAATACGGATTCGCGTCCCAGAGCAACCAGAACCCCAGAAACTGGGGTTGACTAGACTCTCATTCAACCTAACTTCACATGTGAACAGTTGCTCCAGATTAGCCATACGTCATTGTTGGCTCGTGGACACCTTTATCCTGTGCCTTCGACTTGATTGAGCGTTTAATACTATTTTTGTCTGGGTTCCAAGGTGTGCGTTCAGCTCGTCACCAGGCCTCACTTTGGATTTCCCTCGGTTACTTGCCACCTGGCTGGTATAGTGGAGAAATTAAGTTCTTAACTCTAAAACCTTGATGCAGATGTTTAAAGTTAGGTACTTTTGGGTACCATGTCAGTACAGTACAGAAATAGTTCTAGATGGCTGGTCTTTTAGAGCCTTTTCATAGGCCTTATGCTTAGGATGCAGAAAACAAAGTCATTGAAATGACTCTATTGCATTTTGCAGAATGACTGCATTTTCCTTAGTGTTAGTTGCTTATATGTCGTTCTAAGTCAGCAGTTCTCAACCTTCGGGTCGCGACCCCGTTGGGGGTTGAACAACCCTTTCACAGGGGTCGCCTAAGACCATCGGAAAAACACATATATAATTACGTATTGTTTTTGTGAGTAATCACTATGCTTTAATTATGTTCAATTTGTAACAATGAAATTGGGGGTCACCACAACATGAACTGTATTAAAGGGTCGCGGCATTAGGAAGGTTGAGAACCACTGTTCTAAGTAAAGTTTTAAGATCAGCACCTGGCACGTGGTTCATACATAGGTCAGTGTGAAGCACGAAATGGTAGAAGTGTGAAGGAAATGATTTTGTAAGGAGCGAGGAGGGAAGAAGAGAGTGCTTGGTGTCTTGATTCTGGGCCCTTTTCCCAAGGTTGCTTCCTGGAATCCCTTTTGAGAAAGGTGGTTAGGATAGAATTGCATTTTAGAATGAGTGTCCGATGAGGGTCATATTGTAAATTCCCTTCATCTGCTGTCTCTCTGTGGGATACCAGCCACCTTTGGTTCATGGCTGCTGAGGTCATCACTTTTTGGTGACTCACAACAGCAGAAATCTGCTGAGCCTCTCACATTGAACTCTGGTTTAAACTGGTTTTAGAAGTCAACCTAGAAACACCATTTTGATTTTTCTCTCAAGATTATCACACAGATTAGTGTTGAGGAATTTTCAGAATGGTATTCGAAGCTTCAGAGTTTTAATTGTACTTTGAAAAATTATTGTAACCAATTTGTTGTAGGTTATTGCTGCTCTAGTGATTGAGTTTTGACTAAAAACTCTAGGTATAACAATTTCCAGGAAAAGTCTGTTTTAAAGTAACCCAAGCCCCGAAACTTTCAAAATGAAGGTTGCTATGGTTTCTTTAGTCTATAAGGATTTTTTTTACACTTTTTTTATAGCATAATTACTGTTATAAAGGTGCTTTCCTTTATCAGGTGTCCCTCATTTGTCATGTGCTTCTAGTTGTCTTTCTAGTAGGATGAGCGTACACAGCTCCATCCAGTCTCCAGTATTTCCGAGTGCGCGCTCTGTACAAGGTAGTATGCTCGTTGGCCTAACGTACTTTATTAATGTCTGGAGCTTAGCTTTATGCGATACGTGGCCAGGGATAAGGTTGGAGCCTGGGAATATAGAATAGTGCAGGAACAGGTCTGTGCAGGACTTGAAGCATACCCCACTATGTAAATACACAGATCTTAATCTATTGGGACTGTGTAAAAGGCAAAATGGTTCTTTTTTAAAAAAAAATATTTTTATTGATTTTTTTTGCAAAATGGTTCTTTTATTGTAACTGTCTTTTTCAATTTCAGTTAAGAGGTTTGTTTTATTAAATTAGGCAGACCTGGATTTAAATCCCAAGTCTGCCACTTGTTATGTAATCTGTGGTTAAGTTTCTTAGTGTCTCTGAGTCTGTTTCCTCATTTCTAAAATGGGATTAAGAATATTCCTTACCTCCCAGTAGTTACAAGGATTAGGTGAGATAATTACATGTAAATCACTAAACTCTGTGCCTAACACACATAGAACAAGAGTAATAAGTGTTAGCTTTTAATTATTTTCAGGTTGGTTGATAGCTGATATGCTATTGTTCAGAATTAAAAAGCCTATTAGGTTTGCTTTCAGGGCTAAGGAATATGTGGACACATTTGATTTCTGTTCCCCTCCACCCCTCCCATGTACAAAGGCACACGCAGAAGAACATGCATTACTGTGATACTATAAGGCTTGGAGGTCATTAGTGTCCCCCTTTGGATAACCTGTTGGCTAGCTTCTTGAAATATAGTATTTTTAATATGACAGATGACATAGGAACTAATACTTATCGATAACAACCTCTAATAGTGTTTTGTTCTAATCAATGTTACTCTTATTGTAATGATGTTGTTAATGGCAATACAACATGGATTGCATAGAAAATGTGATTCTTGCATTCTTCTGCCTGCCAAAAGTGTTCTGTAGATGAAAAGTTGGTGTATGAAAAAACTTTTTGGCATTATTTTGTAGCATAATCTGTGCTCTTCCATTTAATTGCTGTGTGATTTGGGGATTATGACAGGCCCTCTTTGAGACTCAGTTTCTGTACCTTATTTTGAAGAAGTGAGAGATAGGACGTAATTTTTCAAAAAGTATCTGGTAAAGGTTACATAACAAACCTCAATATGTGGAGGATGTCATTAAGATAATTAATTAAATGTTGATACAGAATTTTAATAAAATGCTGATCCATGAGAATGTATGGTGCTTTTTTATACCATTAATACTTAAACTCAGATCCAATATCATTTTAACTCCTGGTGAAAAGAATTAGCAAATATTCTTTGTGCAGGTTATAACAAACATCTGTAAAAATCTTGGTTTAAAGTAATAAGCCAACTGAAGAGAACAGATCCTGTGAAAGAAAAAACTTGGGTGGTTTAAAAAAACAACCCAACCCTCATTGCCATTGTGCGCTAAGGATTGCAAACTTTGCTTTAGGTAGTGTGAATAGTGTTTGGAACAAGGCAGGCCTGATTGAAACAAGGTACAATCCTGTTTAAGATGTGAGCATAAAAATGAAATAATAGTTGGTCAAGTTTTAGGTTCTTGAGTTCCTTAAGCAGACTCACTGACATTAATTGTTTGCATAACTGGTTACTGTGCTCTTTCTTAGGATGAATGAAATGAACCTGAGCCCAGTGGGGATGGAGCAGCTGACTTCATCCTCTGTGAGCAATGCCTTGCCAGTCTCAGGGAGTCACCTGGGGTTGGCTGCTTCACCCACTCACAATGCCATCCCTGCCCCAGGTGAGTGGTAAGGGACAGCAACTGCATATCAACACTTACTGCATTATCAATTCTAAATAGAGCCTAGATGGGGTCAGAGCCCCTTTAAGAGTGGAAGAGAGAAGCCAAGCAGGTCTGAGTGGCAGTTCCACATGCAGTTGCAACAGTGAAAGAAGACATTTTTTGTAGAGTGTTGGAGTTCTGGTGGATAGGTGTAGCAGTTTTTTCTGACAATCCTCTTCTTCAGTTGGTGACCTTTTGTCTAGAGCTGTAATTGACTTGGTATTTTATCTAAGACTAGAAGCCTAGTGCATGAAATTTGTGCACTTGTTGGGGGGTGGGGGGAGCGGTCCCTCAGCCCAGCCTGCGCCCTCCCTCAGTCTGGGAGCCCTCAGGGGATGTCCAACTGACGGCTTAGGCCCAAGCCGTCAGTTGGACAACCTTAGCGCTGCCACAAAGGTGGGAGAGGCTCCTGCCACTGCCACTGCACTCGCCAGCCTGTGAGCCCGGCTTCTGGCTGAGTGGCACTCCCCCTGTGGGAGCACACTGCCCACCAGGGGGCAGCTCCTGTGTTGAGCGTCTGCCCCCTGGTGGTCATTGTGTGTCACAGTGACCGGTTGTTCCACTGTTCGGTCAGTTTGCATATTAGCCTTTTATTATATACAACTAGAGGCCCGGTGCTTGAAATTCGTGCATAGATAGGGTCTCTAGGCCTGGCTAGTGATCAGGGCCGATCTGTGGGGTGACCAGCAGGGTGATCTGGGGGCGCCCCGCTGGCACCCACCTTGGCTGGCCTGGGGGGCCTGCGAGCTGGGGGCAGCTCCTACGTTGAGCGTCCGCCCCCTGGTGGTCAGTGCACATCATAGTGACTGGTCATTCCACTGATTGTTCTGCTGTTCAGTTGATTTGCATATTAGGCTTTTATTATAGAAGATTACCTATTTATCTTGGCATTTTGTCCCTGCTTGATAGAGGAGAATTAAAGTTACTCTACTAAATGTTCTTAAAGAGCATGAGAAATTGAGCTTTACTTTCTACATCTGAAATTGGCAACTGCAAATATGCCAGGCCTAGAATTATGGGGAAAGAGGAAGCACCAGAGATGGAGCTCAATATTCAGAGAGAATAAGAGTACAGGAGAAGCTCATTTTCCCCCAACATTATTCCTTTAAGACCTTTTTATCTGCCTAGTTCAATTTTCTTTTTCTCTTGAAACAAGTAAGCTAGTGATTCCTAAGGACCTACAGCATTGTAATGTATTGGACCTTCTTGATCAAAATAGGAGTTAATGTTTTAAGAGTATTTGAATCTGCCCTAGCTGGTTTGCTCAGTGGATAGAGCATCGGCCCTCAAATTGAAGGGTCATGGATTCAATTCCTGCCAAGGGCATGTACCATGGTCCCGGACCCAGGTTGTGGAGTGTGCAGGAGGCAACCAATCAATGTTTCTCTGTCTCTCCTCCTCGCTTCCACTCTCTAAAAATCAATGGAAAAAATGTCCTCAGGTAAGCATTAACAACAACAACAACAAAGAGTATTTGAATCTGTAGGGTGTCCCCCCAAAAATGTATACACACACTTTGAATAATTATAAAGGCAGTGTTTATTAAAATACTTTTCATTTTCAAAATTGAGTTATCAGCTGTTAAAGTATGTATACATTTTTGGGGGGGACACCTTGTATAAATTGTTTAAATAAGTTACTGCTTCATTACTAAAATGCAGAGTTAAATAAGTTTCATCATAACGAGGGCTCTTTACATTCCTTTAAGTATCCAAAAAATGTTTAAAAAATTTGTTGTTAATTCATTTGATTATCTCTTAGGCATTCCTTTTAGAGTACACTTGTTTAGGAGGAAAAGCCTATTAAAAAATAATTGCCACTGGCAAAAAATAATGCAGATCAGCATTGGCTGTGTTGGTGAGTATTCATTATGATACTTAGGCACAGTAAGAGTCACTTCAACACTTTGCAGATAGGTATACTTCCAGGTAGAGACAATCTAAGGGTTATATTCTTTTAATCATGAAGTACAGCATATATACAAAAGACTATGAAACTATTTATATACAATTTCACGTCTAACTTTAAACTAGATTTTCCAAGTAGGAGCATATCTATGAACTTTCAGAAGTGAAATATTCTCACTGTATGAAATGGAAACTATTATAAAGTAAAAATAGGTTTAAAAAACAACAACCCTGTAATAGCACTATTCAGAGATCATTCCTATGAACTCTGGTATATTTCTTCCCATTTTTGTATCTCTATATAATTTGATTTCTTAAATCCTATTTAAACTAGGTTTTTAGTTGCAATTAAATGTTTGGTACTAAAGAGCAATATAGACAATTGGAGGATCAATTTGGTATTTTAAAACTAATTTGAGAACTAACTTTGTGACATTTTGTGGATGTACCTATCTGGGATGTAAAGGGCTACTCAGTGAGATTTTTGCTCACATGCAACAACCTTTCTATGTTTAGTTAGTGATTGTACAGAGAATTTTTAAGTACTTTTATTTTTCAATTATTCAGTATTATTTTGTATTACTCTCAGGTGTACAACAAAGTGTTAAAGTACTTAAACATTTTTTTCTTTTTTTGTAGGCCTGCCAGTGGCAATTCCAAACCTGGGTCCCTCCCTGAGCTCTCTGCCATCTGCTTTGTCTCTGATGCTGCCAATGGGTATTGGCGATCGAGGGGTGATGTGTGGGTTACCTGAAAGAAACTACACCCTACCTCCACCACCTTACCCCCACCTGGAGAGCAGTTACTTCAGGACCATTTTACCTGGTAAGTATGATAGTTCTTTGGGAGGTTAGAAGAAAGAATAGGGCTGACTTGACCTCAGTGCATGAAGAACTGAATAATGCTTTTTTGTTTGTCACAATGAGATATTAATATCTTGGTCAGGAAAACTATCTGTTTATAGTTATGTACTTTTCCTTTTAGAATATACAGATAACATATCCTATATAATAAAAGCCTAATATGCTAAGTGTCCAACCATTCGTCCGACCGTTCGACCAGTCACTATGATGCGCACTGACCACCAGGGGGCAGATGCTCCAACCAGTAGGTTAGCTTGCTGCTGGGGTCCAGCCAATCGGGACTGGGCGAGATGGGCCGGACACGCCCTGGAGCCCTCCTATGGTTCCTCTCCGGCCCGATTGTGCACTGGTGGGGTCCCTTGGCTTGGCCTGCACCCTCTCGCGATCCAGGACCCCTTGGGGGATGTCGGACAGCCAGTATTGGCCCGATCCCCACAGGCCAGGACAAGGGACCCCACCAGTGCACAAATCTGTGCACCAGGCCTCTAGTTATTAATAATTGTAGTTTGACTAAGCTTTATTTCCTAATGGCACATAGCAGTTTTTCTCCTTCTCTTCCAGCATCTCCTTGGTTCAGTTTTATAATCCTGCAATTGTAATTCCTGCCAACCACATGTTCTGCTACAGTGTCATTGTTTATTATAAAGTTTATTGACTTTTTAAAAATTTAAATATTTTTTTTATTAATTTCAGAGATGAAAGGAGAAGGAGAGAGAGAGAAATATCAATGATGAGAATTATTAATTGGCTGTCCCCTGTATGCCCCCTACTGGGGATTGAGCCTGCAACACAGACATGTGCCCGTGACCGGAATCAAACCCAGGACCCTTCAGTCCTCTGGCCAATGATCTATCCACTGAGCCAAACCAGCCAGGGCTTTATTGAACTTTTATTCTGTTACAAAAGTTATTAAATGCTTATTTTAGATAATTTAGCAAATAGGGAAACCATTCATAGTCCCATCATCCTTCCTGTCTTTTATTTTGGTGTATAGATTTTACTGTGTTTTTTTTTTGTAATTAAGATTGTATATTTTATACGTTTGTGTATCCTTACTTTTTTCACTTAATATTTTTCTCTAATTTTACATAGTTATTTTCCTCAACTACTACCTGGTTTTCATAATATCCTTTTTTTGTTGTTTTTTGTTGTTGTTGTTGTTGTTAATCCTCACCCAATAATATTTTTCCATTGATTTTTAGAGAGGGTGGAAGGGAGAGGGAGAGACAGAGAGAGAAACATCAATGTGAGAGAGATATATCAATTGGTTGCCTCTCACATGTGCCCCAACCAGGGCTAGGGATTGAGCCTGCAATCAAGGTACTTGCCCTTAACTGGAATCGAACCCGGGACCCTCAGTCTGTGGGTGGATGCTCTAGCCACTGAGCCAAACCAGCTAGGGCTCATAATATCCTTTTTAATGATGCATTACATTCTACTGAATGGGTATTTCATGATTTATTATATCAGTCCTTCTTTTTTGACAGTTTTGTTTTTCCATTTTTTAATTACCATTATATGAACAACTTTGTGTATAATATTTACAAAATGCATTTAAGAAATTTCTTACTCAAGACGGTATGAATGTTTTTGAGATTCTTAATATGTATCCCTTCCAAAGAGGTTTTGGTAATTACACTCCAACTGGCAATGCAACAAGTACCATTTCACTACATCTTCATAAGCACGAGTGTTTAAATATCTTTTTCTGTTTCAATAAAGCAGGTACAATTATGACTTGTTTTGAATAGTGCCTAGTGGTTCTCAACCTTCTGGCCCTTTAAATATAGTTCCTCATGTTGTGACCCAACCATAAAATTATTTTCGTTGCTACTTCATAACTGTAATGTTGCTACTGTTATGAATCGTAATGTAAATATCTGATATGCAGGATGGTCTTAGGCGACCCCTGTGAAAGGGTCGTTCGACCGCCAAAGGGGTCGCTACCCACAGGTTGAGAACCGCTGGTAGTGTATTATGATAGTTTAATAAGTTATATTAAATTTTATTTTTTCACATGGAAGATATAGTTTTAAATCATTTTACATTTTAATTCTTATAGAGCAAATTTTAGCATCTTAGGACTCAGGAATTCCCACCATGTATAAAAGGCAACATTTAAATGATTAACTTCTAGGGATGTCAAAGGAACACAGTTAATTTTTTATGATTTCTGAGTTTCATAGGAAAAACTGAATTATGTTATATGTATGTTGCTATTTATAAAGTGGATTAAACCAAAGAAGTAGATAGGAGATTATTTTAATTTAGTTATATTTGTAGCTCTAGCATTTGGAATTTTTTATTCTAACAATGTACTAAAAAATCTGTTATCTTTTCCTTTTCTCAGGCATTTTGTCTTATTTAGCTGACAGACCACCTCCTCAGTACATCCACCCCAACTCCATAAATGTTGATGGTAATACAGCATTATCTATTGCCAACAACCCTTCAGCACTAGATCCCTACCAGTCCAATGGAAATGTTGGATTAGAACAAGGCATTGTTTCAATAGACTCTCGCTCTGTGAACACACACGGTGCCCAAAGTCTTCATCCCAGTGATGGCCATGAGGTGGCCTTGGACACAACAATCACTATGGAGAACGTCTCTAGGGTTACTAGCCCCATCTCTACAGATGGAATGGCAGAAGAGCTTACAATGGATGGTGTTGCAGGCGAGCATTCTCAAATCCCAAATGGCTCCAGAAGTCATGAACCTCTGTCTGTGGATTCTGTGAGCAACACCCTTGCGGCAGACACTGTAGGGCATGGTGGTGTGATACCCATTCATGGGAATGGCCTGGAGCTCCCTGTGGTCATGGAGACAGACCACATTGCAAGTCGGGTCAACGGGATGTCTGACAGTGCCCTCAGTGACTCTATTCACACCGTGGCCATGAGCACCAACTCTGTAAGCGTGGCACTCTCTACCTCACACAACCTCGCCTCCCTAGAATCTGTTTCCCTCCATGAAGTTGGCCTAAGCCTAGAACCTGTGGCTGTCTCCTCCATCACCCAGGAGGTTGCTATGGGAACAGGTCATGTAGATGTATCTTCAGACAGTCTTTCTTTTGTACCACCTTCACTGCAAATGGAAGATTCCAATTCAAACAAAGAAAATATGGCAACCTTGTTTACAATTTGTGAGTGTGCTTAGCCTTTTTTGTTTTGGAAATATTGGTGGAAAGGGCCATCATTCCTAACAGGCTTAGTCACAAAGTCAGGTGTTAAAGAAGTTTAGAAAGTAACTAGGCTTTGTAATTTTTCTTTGCTTAGTAGTGTCCTTTATATTAATGTGGTGCCTTTTCCTCAGGTTAGTCAAATGATACATAGACATTTCATTGGTTCTTAAAACATCCTCCTGAAGTAAGGAAACAGAGTCATTTCTGTAATTTACAGATAAGCTTAGCCCCAAAATACATAAGGTATTTCCCAAGGTTTCACAAATAGTTAATTACAGGAATAAACTTTAGTAAGGTAGTCTGTGTGACATGCCTTATGCTCTTCAACATAACATTTATTAAATTGTGCACTTTTTTAAAATCCCAGTGGAGAAATACAGGTGGATACAATTTTGTTTTTGCTCAGAATGTATATAAATTACTATAGTTGCTCATGTAAAAGTTCTTTTTATAGGGCAACAAAAAAAAGTAGTATAAAAACAATTTGTTGGTGTCACCACATACTTCATTTATGCAGGAAACATGTTGATTGCTTATTATATGCCAGCCTCTAATAGATGCTGGGGAGAAAACGGTTGATAAGAGCCAGCACATGCCTTTAAGGAGCTTGTAGTCTGATGGGAGGCATAGGCAAGTAAACAGGCTATTGCGTACAGTGTGATAAGTGCGAAGATGGGATTAAGTGCAAGGTGCTAAAGGGGCCTAAGGAGGGGGAGCACCTAACCAGGGCATGGAAGAGGCAGGGGAAACTTACCAGGGGAGGCTAGTTAGAGGCAAGTAGGTAAAGAAGATGATGCCATAAAGGTGATTTTTCTAACGAAGTAAAAGTAAAGGTTGAGGAAAAGTGCAGGATGTTTACAAGAACTAAGTAAAACTTGTTGAGTGGATGAAGTTAGGGGAAGGAAGGGTTATGGAAGAAAACCCTGGTTTTTGGCAAGGAAAACTGGTGGATAGTAGTAACACTTGCTTAGGATAATGATTGGTGGAGGAGGAGTAGATGAATTTTTTTGAGGAGTGATGGTGAAGCCAATTTTAGACGTGCTGATTTTAGTGTCCATAAGATGCGTAGTAGAAATGTCTAATGAGAAGTCGAATCTGGAGCTCAGAGATCTGTCTGTCTGGAAATATGTAGGGATCTTCAGCATTAAGGTATTAATCATGGCCATGGAAGGGGGGTGAAATCATCTAGTAAGAGTGGAATGTCAAAAGGGCTGGGATATTAAGATACAGTAGCAAAGAGCTTCCAGAGTAGACTGATCAGGAGGTGAGAAAAGTAGAATGAATGAATCTTCTGGTGTTGCAGAAGTCAAGCAATGGGGAGAGATTTCCTATTAACCTTTTCAGTCTCAAATTTACAATTAAAATTTTTTTTAAAAAATCCTCACCCGAGGATATTTTTTTCATTGATTTTTAGAGAGCGTGGAAGAGAGAGGGAAAGACAGAAATACCAATGTGAGAGAAACACATTGATTGGTTGTCTCCTGCACAAGCCCTGACCAGGGCCTGGGCCAGGGAGGAGCTTGTAATCAAGCTACGTGCCCTTGGCGGGAATTGAACCCCGGACCCTGTGGTCCACAGGCCAACACTATCCACTGAACCAAACCAGCTAGGGTCAAAGTGTTTTCATCTGGGAATGTAATGTAGACTCATTAATTTAGCCTGTTGATCCTTTTTTAAAAAGTGGGATCCTCTTGCTTCTAAATGTGTTTTTAAAAAGTGAGATATAATTCACATTTTAAAGTGTACAATTCAGTGATTTTTAGTATATTGACAAGGTTGTATAACCATTACTACTGTCTAATTCCAAAACATTTTTATCACCCCATAAAGAAACCCCATCAGCAGTAACTCATCATCGCCCCATCCCATGGTCAGGTAACCACTAAGCTACTTTCTATCTCCATGGATTTGCCTATTCTTGACATTTCATATAAATGGAGACATATAATATGTGGCTTCCTGTGTCTGGCTTTGTTCCCTTAGCATAATGTTGTCATGGCTCATCTGTATTTTGGCAGGCATCGGTACTTCATTCTTTTTTTATGAGAGCATAATCATTGTGTGTGTATTCCACATCTTGTTTATCATTTATGGACATTTGTGTTTCTCCTTTCTGGCTATTATGAGTAATGCTGCTAAGGACATTTATATAAAGGGGGGGGCAAAAGTAGGTTTGAAGTTGTTTGTATGGAGAATAATACAATAATTAATAATAATACAAGAATAAACTAACTGGTTCGCATACTTACAACTGTAAACCTACTTTGCCCCACCCCGTACAAGTTTTTGAATGAACATGTTTTAAATTTTCTTGGATATGCAGGATGGGACAAAAGTAGCTTTACAGTTGTTCATATGGAAAAGAATACAATAATAAAACAAGAATAAATTCAGTTTCGTGTACTCACAACTGTAAACCTACTTTTGCCTCATTGTAAGAATGGAAAATTGCTTTACGTTTAACTTTTTGGGGGAATTGCCAGAGTGGCTGCAACAATTTATATTTCCAGTATCAGTATACCAGGCTTCCAGTTTTTCCACATCTTTGCCAGCACTTTCTTTCTGTTTTATTATAACCATCCTTTTGGGTGTGAAGTGACATCTTATTGTCCGGTTTGCCTTTCCCTAATGAATAATGATGTTGAGTCCCTTTACATGTACTTACTGGCCATTTGTATATCTTTGGAGAAACAGGTAAGCATTTTCTGTTGTATGAAATCTGAATCTCCTTTGTTTGGAGGTGATTCCCTTCTCGTTAATCAGTTCTCATCAAGGATGGGAGATCTCTAATTGGATATTTAAAGACTTTTTAACCAAGCAGTAGTTGAAGTAATATGTTATTACTCTTTGGCTAAATATGAAAACTTTCTGACACCTTAATGCCATTTAAGTAGAATTTCTAATGATTACTTAGGAGAAAAAGACACTTGGATAGCAGTGGTTCTAAGGTTTATGGATTCCACTTATTTTGTGAACAATTGGGAAAGTTTGAACTCAGTCAGTGGCTAATAGAGGCATGAATTTATTTCCTTAACAGAGAGAAAGAAAAATAAAAGAATAGAGCAAAAGATTTATGGAGAGGGAGGACACTCATGAGCTTGTGAAAGTGAAGTTATAGTAAGCATAGACAACAGTATACAAAGGTCATATGAACAGTGAGAAATTAAGAATTTTAAGCAGATGTGTCTGCAAGAATGTATTCTGCCTGCTGGCCCAAAGAGCAGGTTATAAATACTTTTCTGGCTTAAAAATCTGCCATCAAAATCTGGTTGGCCAGTTTGTTTATGGTGAAGCAAAAGAGAATAGAGGTGCCGCTGGCTCTGTCATCTCTGCTTTGCATGACTGACAGCATTTCAGCCCAGTTTCCTCTTATAGTTCGTAGAATTGGAATCCAATTTCAGGCTGCAGAACATCATATTATCTACTTAATGTAAGGAGTAGTGTACAGTCAGCCCTCTGTATCCACAGGATCTGCATCTGCAGATTGAACCAACTACAGATATAAAAAAAAATTACAGAAAGTTGATCCTTAAATAATTCAGTATAACAAGTACTTACATAGCATTTACATTGTATTAGGTATTATAAGTAACCTAGAGATAATTTAAAGCATATGAGAGGATGTGTCCAGGGATGACTGAACTTGATTTTTTTTAAACTTGATTTTTGAAGTAAATGTAGTGTTATTATTTTTTAAAAAATATATTTTATTGATTTTTTACAGAGAGGAAGGGAGAGAGATAGAGAGTTAGAAACATCGATGAGAGAGAAACATCGATCAGCTGCCTCCTGCACATCCCCCACTGGGGATGTGCCCGCAACCCAGGTACATGCCCTTGACCGGAATCGAACCTGGGACCTTTTAGTCCGCAGGCCGACGCTCTATCCACCGAGCCAAACCGGCTTCGGCAGTGTTATTTTTTTTTAATCAATCTTGCCCTTTAGGCACTGAATAGGAAACGTGTCCTGTTAGATCAAAAGGAAAAAGTCACATCTTGCTGAAGAGAGAGATGAGTTGATACATATTTTAGTATAAGAGTAGTTCTTTGATTAAAGTATTTCTGCTAGAACCTTGCTTCTTACTGGTTACAGTTTAGTAATTAGTGTTTAACTAGAAGAGCAGGTGGTAATTTAGCCTGCTTGAGGTGAACTCATTTGTGTTTCTCAAATTTTCCACCTGCAGGGTGCACCCTCTGTGACCGAGCCTATCCCTCAGACTGCCCTGATCATGGACCAGTGACTTTTGTTCCTGACACTCCAATAGAGAGCAGAGCCAGGCTTTCTCTCCCAAAGCAGCTTGTTCTCCGTCAGTCAATTGTGGGAGCAGAAGTTGGTAAGAACCATAAAACCCCCTCAAGTGTCTTCTTTCTTTGTGAGGCAGAGTTGTAAAAGTGGGTGTGTATAATTTAGTGACTATTTGGTTGATCCAAAAGTCAATTTATGGCTTAGGATTTATCCTTTTAGGGAATATTTATCTTGTCCAGTGGTGATAGGAATAAATCAAGTTGAAAACTTTATTGGAAATGGTCTCCTTACTTAGAGTCAGAATTGAATAGAGGAGAGAATCCTGGCCTGAGTCTTTGAAGATTTCCCTTTTATTCTCACTGTAGCATCCACTAAGAATTACCATGACAAAACACTCCTTGAAACTTCTTTCTTTTATAGAAACATGCAAAATTCACCACTGGTAACCAATTGTTACAAAAGATGTTGAAATTGAGTGTAAGTTGTCTAATACTCTAGGGAAAAAGAATAAAGAATACTGCCAGAGTGTGCTTACCCATATTTGACTTTAACATGGTTTCTGCAGTATTGTGTCATTTCTTTGAAAATATGAATCAAAGTTCATTATTCTTTCAGCGGTAGCTTGATGTCAGTTGAAAGCATGAAACAGCTTAGATAATATAGAGCAGTGCTTTAAGCACAATTTTAGAAGTTTAGCAGTTGCTTTATATTTTTATAATAGAATAATATTCTCTAGTCTTTTAATGTGATAACTCCAAAATAACGTATTTGGAGGGACATGGTTTGGTCCATTGTGTATAAGACTGGGTTTAGAAATGTCTGATATTACTTCTTTGCATATTACTTCTGAGCCCATTTTATCTATTCATTACATTTTCCATACTCATATGACTTAGCTACCTCTAAGGAGTCCTGGAATCCCAGTAGTTCTCAGGTTCCCTGAAAATCAGATTCTTTGCTTGGGTTAAGCTACTCACTCTCTGTGTCCGGAGATGTTTAAGGTACTGATTGTATAGTCGGTGTCCTTCCACTGACAGGTGTATGGACGGGAGAAACCATTCCTGTGCGGACTTGCTTTGGGCCTCTCATTGGCCAGCAAAGTCACTCCATGGAAGTAGCAGAATGGACAGACAAGGCAGTTAACCATATCTGGAAGGTCAGTGTTTATGAAACTTATGCGTGACTTTTGGATGTTTTTATTTAATAAGGTAGTTAAAAGTGATGTAAAGGTCAAAATTAGCCATGATGATACAGTGCCATTTGCCTGTCAGTTGTTTATTTAATACTAGAGGCCCAGTGCACAAAAATTTGTGCACTGGGGTGGGGTCCCCCGGCCCGGCCTGTGCCCTCTCGCAGTCTGGGACCCCTCGGGAGATAACGACCTGCTGGCTTAGGCCTGCTCC